ACAGCCCACGCCGCCACGAGGGGCCGCCCGCGCCCCCGTCCAAGTCCGGCCCGCGTCCATGGCGTTTCTGACCGCCTGGAAGGGGGCGGCCTCCGGGAAGAGCGACCGCAGGTACTGGGCGGGGACGGGGACTCGGCGGGAGGCGCGCGTGGGAGGGAGGGGCGGCTGCCGGCAGCCGACGGGAGGGACAGCTGTGGGGGTACAGCTGGAGACCGCAGTGCGCGGGCTAACGGCCGGAGGGCCGGCGGGGGGAGGTGCAGCCCAGTGCGTCTCACACCCCCACGTGCCCGCTGCTCGCGTGTTGCGGCCCCCCGCGGGGCTGGGCCTGGGGACGAGGGTTGCGGACCCCCGCTCCCCGGTCGCCCCCGAACCCCGCTTCCAGTGCCGTCATCTGCGCGCTACCTGCGAGGGTACCCAGGTGAGCTGGCCCTCGGGCGGGCTGGGAGTCAGGTTTGGGCAGCCGAGTCAGCCCTCAGGGGTGCTTGTCACGCCCCTGGTCCTCCAGAGCGCTGCATGAGTGGAGCCATGGGCACCCTTTGTGCCGGGACAGGTGAGAGCAGGCACACCATCCGCCCCCCAACCCTGGGTTGTCCACATCTGGGGGCAGCACTGTGGGGGGAAATCTTGGGTGTCAGTGCTGGTCCAGGGAGGAATTATGTGCCCCACAGCTCCTCCAAGGTCAACCCATCAGGGCTGTCATTGTCTCCTTTGTGTTGTCTCCTCCCCAGCTGTCCCCACCTCCTGGATGAGTTGGTGTCTCCAGATGTGTTCCCTTGAGAAAGAGGAGAGGGGGCAGTCCTGACCTCTCTTCTGAGCTTAGATACCCAGTTCCTTTCCTTCACATACTTAAAGTTCACCTTCCATTCTCCCTGAAGAAGAGCAATCCAATTGCCCTCCCAGCGCTTCCATGTGACTTCCCTGTGAGCACCTCAAGCTCTGCAAGCCCCAAATCACACTTCACATCTTCACCCCTAAACCTGTTCCTCTCCCTGTGTTCCCATCTCAGTGAATGGCATAGTCATCCACCCTGTTGCTCAAGCCCAGAATCTGGGAGTCATGCCTTTCACCTCCCTCCCTTATCTCCACCCCAGTCTCCAAGTCCTGCTGATTTTCTCTTTGGTGTCTCTCAAAGCTCTTCATTCCCCTTTGGACTATTGCAGTAGCCCCTAACTTTCCCAGTTCCTCCAGTCTTCTCCTTTCCATGCATCCTTCAGACTAATCTTTTCTAAAGCACAAGCCAGACTATGTCAGTTTTCTTTTTTTTTTTTTTTTTAAGATTTTATTATTTATTTGAGAGAGAGGGAATATTTGGAGCTTCAATGGCGCCGGTAAAAA